ATTATATACAGCACTAGTATTAACTGTAGAAGACAGCAGAGCAGAAAGAAACAAGCAGAGTTGATGAAACTGGATCAGAGTCCATCACCTGACAGACTGAGCTGATTGATGAAATGATTGATTGATGAACCATCAGCCAATCAGCTCTGATCAATAAAAATTATAATTTACAGTCGAAAAAGAAATAATCAATCGAACTGGTGCAAATATAAAGTAAGAAATGTACCTGAAAAGTGATCGATCAGCTCCCGCGGGCCAGACTTTCACACAGTGACGTCATCACTTCAAAGTGATGGGTGTCGATGGTTGTGCTGATTGATTGACTGATCAGTCTGATTGGCAGCAGAGAGGCGGGACTCGGACCTGCATCCGGACTGTGAGTCTGCCTGTGGATCAGAGATCTCAGGTCCTGGAGTTCCGGTCCAGGTCCCGGTGTGTTTCTGCAGGTGAGCCTTACTACAAGAAACAAAGAGAGGGAAGAGCAGGAAGAGGGCTCACTCTGATGTGTTTACTGAGTCAGAGTACAGGTGTTATTTTTATTTTTTCTTTTCTTTTTCAATGTTGTCTGAAATAACTCTTATTATACATAATCCTTCTTTCTTCTTGTTGCTTTCTATTGCACATCTGAGAAAAAACAAACAAACAATATTTAATCTATTTACAAGTAATAATAATTTACAGATTTCACAAGAATCAATACTATTATAATACTATTATAATACTTTTAACACAATTTAACTCTTTTTCTTGTGATAAAAGGTTTTTAAAGACTTTATTTAAGCTGTGGTTCTTGGTTTAAATCTGCCCTGTTCTCAAACCCACATTCACTTATTTTAATGACCTGTTCATGAAAATAAAAACATGCTTTAGTAAAATGTCAGTTTAGGTTTTAATGTTTAAAATAAAAATATAAATTAAAATAAAAATAGAAATTAAAATAAAAATATAAATAAAAATATAAATTGTGCACAATAGTGACTATTTGTGACTTTTCTCATCAGAGTAAGACCTCTTCCACAATAGAAGATTGAAATGACGTCACATCCTGTAGATTCACGTCGTCATGGAAACCAAAGTCTGTGTTTGGTTTGAAATAAATAGATTTTTGTATTACTACTTTTAATTATGTACTAATAAGC